TTTTTCTACAGTTAGTGAGTCCAAAGTAAATTAACAAAATCTTTATATTTTATAATTACGAAGTCCAATAATGGCATTCAGAATATACATGTAGTAGAGTGAAATCAAAAAGCAACATAGTACTAGTACAAGTACTCTTGTGGATTAAAAAAAAACTGATGTATCTCTAGTCCAATGACTTTTGTGAGGTGGCACCAGGAATGGGGGTCAATCATATTTTAGATGGGGCTGCTGTCACCCCATGCCCCCCTTCTTGACACGCCCCTTTTTTCTGTCTATCGTCATCCAGTTAGACATACTCAGACTCCATTGTCTTGGACTGTAACTGGTGACAGTGATCATTGTTGTGCTTCAGGTGCAAACTTGGGGCTCACGCTAACAGACCCTAAAGCAAACACTACTAACAGTTTGCCTGCATGTATTCTCTCCAGGTACTCAGACTTCCCCCAACAATCCAAAGTTAATCACGTTAGGTTATTTGGGGATTCTAAATTCACAAATTCAAGCATGAATGGATGGATGTCTCTTCTGTGCTGGGCTTGAGATGGACTGGCAATCTGTCAAATGAGTATGCTGTGTGCCATGATGTCCCAGTGACTGATCAAGAGAGTGTCAAGATGTCTGCAAATCAATTTTAATCCAAAGTATGATGATGGGAGGGAGAAGAAAATGTTTTTTTGCAAAAGTAGAACTCAGAGAGCTGTTTGCTTTTCATCTAATGTGATTACCCAGCGGAGAGCTGCTTCAACAACCCTCACAACCGGAATTTGATTTGTCCCCAGAAATTTGGAGGTTAAATATTTTCTCTCACTCTTTGCCAGAGAGAGAAAAAGCTGTGGGTGTTTTGCGATGAAGAAAAATCCTGCAGTCAAATGTCCAAAAGGCCGATATACGGCACAGAGTGGATAAACAGAAGCACTACTCCTGTTTGGTTGAGTTAATGATGGAGTAACGTTTGTTAGGATTTTGCCTTCTGTCACAGGACGACAGAACATGCTGTTATTACAGAATCAGCTCAATCATGGACGCATCACAACATAACCACGGCCCTTAAAATGATAGCCTGTTAGAATTTGCTGACTGTTTGCATTTATTCCTGCACCTGAAATGAGTTTTTCCATGCCAACAGTTTTTCATCAGTTTTATAATCAAACCTGCTGCCCTCAGATTAAAACAGAAAAGCTAATGTGCTTATGTGTGATGTTTTGCTCTCTGTCCCTGTAATTAATTACACCCACTACTTATGAGATTAACCACTTCACAATTTGACTAATAAGGACAGGGAAAGCACTTAGAAAGTGTCTGCTGGACCTGCCTTAATGTCTCGGATACAGGTTTGCTTCATTTCAGTAATGTGAAAGTAGGTGGAAGCTTAAATTCTCCAAAGAGGTTAAAGGCTTTGAGCACAGATTTATTGATTAACTCTTAAGGAACTGCACTCAAGTGCAAAATTATTTGGACAGAAATAGGTACTTACTTTGAACACCTTTAGCTTTAAACCTAAAGAATAGCCCAATGCTGGACTTCCTGTTTATTAGCATCAATGTTGTATCGCTTCAAGATAACAGTGAAGTTAAGCAGCCACTTTTATACTGTGTCAACACTGCTCACTGCTCTTCGAGCTGAAGTCTCCTAAATGTGATTCATCTCGGGACACTTTATGATTCTCTTTGTAGCCTTGCTGCCTTTTGAGGCATCTCTGGGAGAGGTGAGCTCTAGTTACATTTGGCAGCAAAACTGCTCTGACCACAGGCATTCACCATAAAAAACGAGTCAATCCATTACACGGTCTGGTCTGAAAATATTGGATGTGATACATTAAGGGAAACCCAGTCCTTGTTGTTAAGAAATACCATTTTGATAATGGCTGTGGGCCTCGGGTGTTACCGTAGCCTCGCAGAGCCGGTGTTCGTCTGAGTGCTCTCAGTTTCCTTAATGTAATAACACTTTTTTCCCAGAGGAGTTCAACACGGACAACGGGAGGTGAAGAGAGTGTGTTAAGGCTGAAAGAGAGAGAGAGAGAGAGTGTGTGTGTGCGTGTTAGAGAGAGAGAGAGAGACAGGGAAAGCCCATGACAGAGAGGGAGAAAGAGGAGTAGGTGTTAAACGAATGGCTGAGATGATTGCGAGTGCTGGTGGAGGAATCAGATTCTGAGGATCTCGTATTTCAACTCAGTGACGGCGACACACATGTCGCTTTGCACAGACTTTCGGCACGATTAGAAAAGTGCAGGAAAACACTCATGGAGGAAGCCAGACTAACGAGATGAATCCCCTCATTTCAAATGTCAAAATAAAAGTAAAAAAGAAAACAGGTATTTTAAATCCTCTTTAGATGTTAAGTTCATTTCGTCTTTACTAAAAACACCTCTGAAGTACAGAGAGTCTGCTCCTACACATCCTTTGACTGATACAAAAAGGTTCCCAGGGAGTCGGTACAAACAGTCCTCTTAAGAGTAAAAGCGAGGCCCCTAAAGTCACAAATATCACTGCAGAAAACACCGAGCAGGAAGGAGCATTAACTAAATTACTATCTTTAAGGCATAATTATCTACATCATTTAATAGCGTTATGGTGGAAAACTTTCAAATTAAAAGCTCAACTTGTATAATTTTCCTCTCTGTGAGATCCTGACATTGTTTCCCAGCCTTTAGTGCAGCAGCCCGCCTTTTAACTGGTACCAGGAAATTTTGCCATATTACCCCTGTCCTAGCTAGCCTGCATTGGCTGCCCATAAAGTACCGTATTCAATTTAAAATATTACTCCTTACTTTCAAAACTATTAATAAATTAGCGCCAAGTTATCTTAGTGAACTTCTCAAACCACATACTCCTGCTAGAACACTCAGATCTGCCACTCAACTACTTCTGACCCAACCCAGATCTCGACTGAAGTCTCGGGGTGACCGTGCGTTTGCTCTGGCTGCCCCGGTACTCTGCCCTCTCGACCTCCGCGCATCTGATTCCATTGCACTGTTCAAATCACGATTAAAAACCCACTTATTCAATCTTGCCTTTCCCTCTAGTTAATATTTCTTTCATGATTTTATATCATGCACTTTTATGCTCATTTAAATTCTTGTTTGCTCTGTACCTGTTGCTTTCCTATGTATTAGTGACAGTTATCTGCTTGCATATTTAGTACTTGCTTTGGTCCTATTTCTATTATCCTCCTCCTATACTCTATTTTACTTGTTAAGCACCTTGGCATACCCTTGGTTTTTAAGTGTGCTTTATAAATAAACTTTATTATTATTATTATTTAGTGTGTATCTGTTACCTCCGTGTTTCCCTAAGGATGGGTAATGTTTAAGCTGCTGGCACTTTAGCCAAGTGGTGACATCATGTTTCATTTGAACTACACTATCTGTTTTTTCATGATAATAATTAAAAAAAAAAAAAAAACATTTGGAGGAAAACCTGAAAGATTAAAGAAAAAAAAAACTGTATATAGAAGATGGACATGGCCACTACGACATCACCCACTGGTTTGTAAAGTCCTCGTTTGAATTCTTGGTTTCAGCTTTAGCTGTTTCCATGTTATTGTTTTTTGGGCCAAAAGTGACTCTATTAGCCTGAGATGGTGCAGTGCAAGGTTATCAGCTAACACTTGGCAGCATGAGGAGAATCCATACAGTATGGCTGCATCACAAACAGGTACCTGCTAATGACTTTCATGAAAAAATTTAATGAACACAAATAAAATTACAAAATTTCACTCACCAACAATAGAAGCTAAGATGTCTTGTATGCGTTCTTTGTCAGACAGTTGTATTACAAAATGTTCTAAACTGAAAAACAATAAATGAAAATACATAGGAAACAGTGGAAAAAGAGCATTTTCTTTGATTTAAATGTTTATGTAATACTTAGTTACTTTAGTGCACTATGAGTGACCATGGGGACGATTTTTCTTAGTAGGAAAAGCTAATATCATAGAAAATACAATTAGAAGTCCAAACTCTATGTCTTCATTCAAAGGTTATTGTAGTTAACTAAACTAAAAACTAGATGTGAAAAAATAAAAATGAATTGAAAACTATTTTGTGAACTTGGAAAATGAACCAAAAGAAAATAAAAATATCCTTAGCTTACGTAATGAGTCACTGATGTATGTGTGAAGTGCTGTATTGAGACTCTGAATGCCTACAAAACTGTGAGTCCTGCCTCTTACATACGGCCCCATACAATAACAATAAAAGGACTAAAACACTGAGACTAATAACAAATAAAACATAAACCAACATAAGAAAATCTACCTTGGAAACTAAACTGAATTTTTTAAAAAGTCAAAATGAAATACAAATTTAAAACTAATATGAAAATTCAAAACTACAATAAACTCCATATTGGAGTCCTGGGCGGGCGATTCTGGACCCCGAACCTTATATTTGACACCCCTGCTATAGAGTAGTAAAATTAAACACAAACTATCAGCCTACTAAGTAAAACGGTTACTTACTAGGTTAATAACTTTAATCCACCTCTGTGAAAGTGAGCTAGGTTTTACAACAATACTCAACTCCAAAGTATCCCGAACTTTCCAATGATGCCAACGTTTTTATCCCTGCTTTAAATCCTTAACAACAAACGTCTGTCTTAAAGCAACTTTTAGCCGTCTCCATATTTTCACAGCATCCTCACAGACATCTAACCAGTCTCACGTGCCCTGCGCCTGCACTTCAGTCGACTTGCAACGCAAATCAATATTTGGATCAAAAAGCCAGGCAGAGACACACAAACACGCACACACACACACACGCACACACACACACACACACACACGCACACACAGAAGCGAAGCATATCCCGCCATCCCGTCTGCTGGAATGTATTCACAGGCGTCTCTAATGAATTTAAATGAATCCCCTCATGCCAACACGGAAGCCCGGGAGCAAGGTCCCGGGTCTGGGTTGCATGTTTATGCTCAGCGGGAGCGCACGGAGCTGCTGGCAGGTGGTCGACCGAGCCAGCCGGCCGGAGTTAGCACGCATTTCTTACCGGGAGTTTTCTTTTGGCGCAGTGGAGAGGAAGGAGGAAGAGGAGGTGGGGGGTAGACCAACTCCACCGCTCTCCCTTCTTCAGGCGGCTCTCTCCATCCGATGACAGCGGTGCCGGTCGGGTTTATCTACCCCGGGGAGGTGGAGGGAGGGACACGGCGTTCACACTGATGATGGTGCTGATGGTGGAGGAGCTGCTGCTGGGTCAGCGCATCCGGAAGCGTTCAGATACGGCCAACCGGAGGAGGGAGAAGAGGGAGAAGAAGAAGAGGAGGAGGAGGGTTTGATGTTTAACTCAGAGGGGTCCGTGTGTTTCCGTCACTAAGGTCTGCAGAAAGCTGCAGCCAGAGCCGCAGATGAACCTCCGACCGACTGCACAAATGAAGTCCCACCCCTGCAGCGCAACTTCTACCTTCGGGCTGCTCGATAGACTCGACCACCGCCTCCTCCTCCTTCAAGGCTTCACAACAGCAGCAGTGGGGAGGACCTGCCTGCTCTACGTGCACACACTGTTGTTACACAACCCCGCGCACGAGGAGGAGGTGTGTGTGTGCTTGAGTGAGAGAGAGGTACACAGGTACACCCAAACTTTTGAAGTCACCCTCAGCATCCCTCCACAAATCTGACGCCTGTGAAAACTCTCCTGCGCCCCCCACCTCAAATGATCAAAATATGTCTGCTGAACAAACCTCCACCTCCTCCACCGCCATCACCACCACCCTGATTCATCTGAGATTTGAGCTGTTAGGGATGATTCAGTGTGAAATTGCATAACTGTCTGTGCTGGAGGCTGGCATGGTGCAGTAATGAAACCTCTGATAAGAAAAACATGCATCAGTCCTCATTTCCCCCAAATAATTCTAATTAAACTATTTCCAACTAGTGTGCACTCACTACATGCTGCAGTCGGTTTTAATGAGTGAAATGCTGCAAAGACACAGCTCATATGATATGTGATTATTTTTTTTAAATGTTACTTTACAAGCCCAACATTGTAATTACAAACCATCAGCTGGTCTTTAAAACATTATTAGACACAAATAAAAGTAATTTTAATAACTGAGCTGAAAACTAACCCAGACAGTTCTTGTTGGAAATAGTTTTCATTCATCTCAGGAGGGCATACTCTTGACAACAGTTTTGCATATAAAATGCTTGAAATATGAAATAAGATCAAAGTCTGAATCTTAAAGGGGACATGCTTCACTCAATCCCAAATCCTTGAGTCCCATGCTCCACAGTTCAGACTACATTTTACTCATACTGGGCCTTGGCAAAGCTGTATATCTACTGTCAGCCTTCCAAAAAATGAATTTTAGTCCTTTAAGCAAGCTTTATTCTGATTGGCTGCCCCTCACAGCAGTTGCCCAGAGCTGTGCGTGCTAAAACCAACACATAAGGTGTGAAATTAAATGTTTTTGTTTTACATGTGTTAAAGTGTGTAACAACACATTCTTTTCAATTTTTTTTAAAGATTCTAGGAGTGCGGGATATTAAGGCTCTCTGTTCAATCAACATCATAGAGCGCCACGATTAGAAAACTATGTTGAAGCCAATGACATCCAGGTTATGCGAGTTTCTATGCTCATGGCCACGTTTAATATGAACATCCATCACTGGAACACACGTGACAAAAAGAGAATAGCATAAAAGATCCTTTTTAATGCACGATCACCTCGAGGACCTTCTATTTGCAAAAAGTTGCAAAATCCACTTTTGAATTTGCAAAAAGTTGTGGAAAACCTGCAAATTCCAGCTAACATCGTATAAAATAATAGCTATAAAACCGTTAAACAAATAACAAAACCCATAAAGGACAATTTAGGTGTTTATTCAGCAGTTTGGACAGCTACACTTTCCCAACCGTATAATAACTCTCAATTCTAGAGGTGTTGTCATAGCTCACCTGAGTGATTGGCCAAACGCATGCCAAAGGCCATCGCTGCAGGATCCTCTGAGCACCTGAGTCCTGAGTTCAATTCCACCATCAGGCCGGGGTCTTTCTGTGTGGAGTTTGCATGTTCTCCCCGTGTTTGCGTGGGTTCCCTCCGGGTACTCCGGCTTCCTCCCACCGTCCAAAGACATGCAGCTTGTGGGGATAGGTTAATTGGATAATCCAAATTGCCACTAGGTGTGAATGTGAGAGTGAATGGTTGTCTGTCCCTGTGTGTTAGCCCTGCGACAGACTGGCGACCTGTCCAGGGTGTACCCCGCCTCTCGCCCTATGACAGCTGGGATAGGCTCCAGCGCCCCCCGCGACCCTGAAAAGGATAAGCGGAAGCGAATGGATGGATGGATGGATAAATATAACTCTGCAAAAAGTAATTTCCAGAAACTTAAATAAACAAAGTGGACACAACTTAACTCAAACTGACCTAATTACAAAGACACATTAGGGTAGCTTTTATAGTGGTTTGGCCAAACCATTTACACACAATAGGGGGAAAACAAACACACTAATATTACCTAAGCACAGATTAACCTAAGTAAACCTAAAACACCCCTGTTCCTGATAAGCACATGGTCTGTCCTGCTGAGCAGGCATTTTGCTCTCAGAGTCCTCAGCCACGCCTTTCGCCCAGACAGGAAACAGCCACCGCCCAAAACCAGGTAACTCAAAGAAAAAGAAACATAATTAATATAACAAAACATTTTTAGAAAAACCACACAATATTATGTGCGTGCCTCATATTATCAGGGGGTTTAACCAAATGATTAATGAATTATATTAATGAAGAAAACTGCAAACCAAACTCATAAAGTGAACAAATGGACTGATTTACCCCTGTGTGGCTGATGCCATCACAGACACTCAGCAGTGTGTTGATGAAGAACTGCAAAGTTGTTATTTTGGCCCAAAGAGGTGATTTAATTTGTTTATGTAATGTAAATACATGTACTTGCAGGTATTTACTCCTTTTCACAGCTTCACAGATGCTTGAATGTGGTACACACTACTAAACAGAGTCAGCCAGTAAAGAGATTTTGAACACTGGAGAGCGGTGCATGTTGTTTTTCTTTAGCATGCCACCATCTGGTGGTGAACATTGGCAGAGAACTACATCTTCTTATCAGCTAGTTCCTTCAGGGGTCGCCATAGCAGATCATCTTGCTCCGTCACACCAACCCTCTGCATGTCAATACAATCTTCACTCCATCCATCAATTTACTCTGAGGTCTTCCACCTTACCTCCTGCCTGGTAGCTCAATCTCCTGCATCCTTCCAAACATCCACCATCCCTGCTCTGCACGTGTCCAACCATCTCAGACTTGACTCATTAACTTTGTCTCCAAGCTGCTCGACCTCAGTTGTCCCTCGGATGTCCATTGGAAAAACTTAGCATCTTTAACTTTGAAACTTCGAGCTCGCTCTTCTGTCTGTGTTTGTCGGTTTCACATTCTTTACACTATACATCATAGCAGGTCTCACTGCCATGTTACACACCTTCCCATTCACTCTTGTTATATAATATTACAATAAAAGCAAAAATTGGAGGGGATTTTGCTTTAATTAAGTCTGAAAGCTATCACGGAGGCAAGCAGACAGTACCAATACAGGCATTTGGGATAAACAGAAACTTGTTTAAAAAGAAATGTGTTTATTCCTTAAAACCACTTTCAATGTGGTTTTTAAGTAACAAAAACCTCATTTAAACACAAACTGCTGAGTACTTTACAGAGTAAAAAAACAACCCATGTTTCCAGTTTTATAATGCCCACTGTAAATAATTTAAAGGCTCCTTATCAGCATTGAGCTTGAGGACAATTCTTATTTTGCTGATGTGGCTGTATCAATTCAGGTCAAGAATGACCTGAAATTGTAGCACGGTGGTTAGCACTGTTGCCGCACAGCAAGAAGGTCCTGAGTTCAATTCCACCATCAGGCCGGGGTCTTTCTGTGTGGAGTTTGCATGTTCTCCCCGTGTCTGCGTGGGTTCCCTCCGGGTACTCCGGCTTCCTCCCACCGTCCAAAGACATGCAGTTTGTGGGGATAGGTTAATTGGATAATCCAAATTGCCACTAGGTGTGAATGTGCGAGTGAATGTGAGTGTGAATGGTTGTCTGTCCCTGTGTGTTGGCCCTGCGACAGACTGGCGACCTGTCCAGGGTGTACCCTGCCTCTCGCCCTATGACAGCTGGGATTGGCTCCAGCGCCCCCCGCGACCCTGAAAAGAATAAGCGGTAGCGAATGGATGGATGGAATGACCTGAAATAACTATCCTGATTTCCAAGAAAAAAAAAGTAATAAAAACTTTGGCAGAAAGACTGAAATCCTTCCTTTTCTAAACAGTTAAATCAAGCAAAAATGACACAGAGCACAAAGAGTATATATAAAAAACATATATTTATTGTTCTGTTACTGTTGGTTAAATTGAACAACAATAAATGGCTGCAGGCCAGGAGACATACTGTACACATAATTAGAAAGCCCTGGAGAGCTTCCGTTTTTAGATTCAGTGGCAGTTAACAATGCAAAAGAGAAAACCAGAGCAGAAAGAGGAACAGAAAACAACGTCTGCCGTATTCCAAACGGCGGATGAATATTATGGTTCAGTGGTGCGTTCAAAAGTCATCCTTCAGCCAAAGTGGTTTTTCTCCTACGCAGGTAACTTTACAAGAGGGGTAAAAATACTGTACATTGTTCTTTGCGTGGATGCAACTGAATGATTGGGATCTTTTACAATTGATTCTCTGTGTAGGACAGTGATAACTACTCACCTTGTTCTTCCTCCAAAACATGCAAGGTGGAAGAAAATCAAGTAAAGCTTTTAAAAGATAAAATGATTATTAGACTCTCGTGACAGAAATAGAAGTGCTCCGTACGCCACAAAATAGTGTGGATTAAAATAGATAAAGGTTATATATATATATATTTATACTATATTTAATATATAAAGGCTTAACTCTGAATACGAGGACAGCCACCAGTGCTGTCCCACACACATTCCTCAGTACACAAACCCTTGAACACAGTAACAAACTTTAAACCTGCTTTGTCTCATTTTTTGCTCCAAGGACCACAAAGTTTTTGCACATCTGAAATAAAGTAAATTTGCAGCACCAGTCCTCCAAGTATTAAATTCTAGGATAAAGATATTATTCGGGGTGTTTTGTTCGACACATTAAATTCAATGGTAACACTTTATAATACAGCCGCTGACTGAGGGCATACTTCCCTTGTAATTGAATGGAATTGTAATGTATTTATTTGAAATGACAATGTAATTATATTTAGATACAAATACTTCAAGATAGGTGCACTGGAATAATGGTGTAACACGTTAGGTTTTTATAGGAAACAGAAATAATTACTGCATAATTTCTTGGTACTTTAATAGAAAAACATTATCTTACATTGTAAGTACACTGCATTTTCTGGGTCATGGGAGTGGCTTAACCACGCCCAACTTCTAAGTACTTTACAGCGAAGGAGACATAATGAACATTAAATAAGGGTGTAAAAGGCGAGGTTCAGTCACTCCATAATACAGATACACTCCGAGAAGTAGAGCATACTTATGATGTAGAAAAGGAAAATACTGTTTGTCTGCAAAATTCACAGTTAATTACATATTGCCTAAAATTGTTTCTCCTGTCCTGTAAAAATATCTGGAAATTAAGCAAGGTCAGGGCACTCCATAACTGGGCCATGCCCTGAAAAGTACAGAGCACCTACTGTGTAAGATAGAGAAATATTGTTTGTTTTTACAATTACTTACAGTATGAATACTTCTTTGTTTCCAGTAAAAATCTAACTTTTTACCCCGTTATTCCATTATACGACCTTTTAAATATTTGTATGTGGATATAATTACATTGCAGTTTCAAATAAAATATGTTAAAATTCCACTAAATTACAGGAGAATTACACTCTTAGTTATGGACTGTTATAAAGTGTTACTGGTTGAGGCTTCTGTACATGTCTTGGTTTTACTGACTCCAGACTGGAAAGTCAATAACACAGAGCTCGTTTAATTCAGAGTGACAAGCCGGAAGCATCAATACAGGATTTACTCTCCTACTGGTAGAGCAAAGGGGGAAAAGAGAAGAGGGGAAACAAACAATATAGGAGGAATGGAAGCAAGTGTCAGTGGCTGTGTAATTAGTTTCTCTCCAAGATAGAATTTATACATGAAACTAAGTGGTTGAACTAAAAAAAGCACATTTGTAGAGCAGATGAGAACAAATGTCCGTTTCAGTCCACGCAAACGTTTACATTCCACACGCTGCAAAACACATCAGATCCAGCTCCTCAGATTCACAGGAACTTTATTCAGTCTCACCGTGTGCTCCGGGCTCCACCGAGGGGCACCAGCGTTCCAAATGTAAATGTGCAAATGTCATCCGTAACGCAGAACCGTTCAAAAAAAACTCGACAAAAAGATAAAACGATCGACAAAGAATAACTTTTTTGCAGTCCCTGAAATATCCCATCCACTATAAGAAGTACTTTCCACTGAACTTTACCTTGCTTCTTAAGTTGCAGGATTGAAATGAAACTGATCAGTTTATGTGCCACAAAACAAAAACGAAGGAAGAGAGTATTAGTAAAAGACTGCATAATGCTGTTACCTCAAAAAGAAATAAAAGACAGGTATTAATTGCACATACGCCAACAAGAACCCAAACCAGCAGCCAGGGCGGTCGAGCCTTTTCCAACTTTGAAGCGTAAAAACATTAAATGAAAAGCCAAGTTTAGCTCAGTGTTCGTCACCCACCTCTACAAAGCTCTGTGCAGAAATGTGTTTTGATAATTATTTATGTTTTAATTTTTTTTTGTTAATTTCAACTTCATACTGGCTTTTGAATTTCTAAAAGCACAATGAGTAAATGAAGAAGTCTCAGCTGTGCAAATGTCAAGACTAAAATATATTAAATTCAATGTTCAGCCATGTCCTCATGTCTGGCAAAAGCTTGTTTTTCCTCCACTCCCTTCATTTCAAATCCTCCCTACACTCCCCTTTTTTCTGATTCAAATAAAACTTGCTTATAATACAACACTGCGTAAAAAAAAAAGAGTCAAATTATTGGGATGAAACTCCAAATTCTCAGTTTCCTTTCTAAATTCTGACCGTGGTGTTCCTTTAGATGTCAGACAAAACTTGCAGAATATCAATATGCATCACCGTAGAAGCTTAGTTATTTCATTTCACACTCCCTCAAACCCTGTAGACAGATGGCATGAAAATGATATTTAACACTGAGTACTCACAACTCTCCAAGTCTGGAGACTTGTCTCAGAAACACAAAATCTTAAAATAATTCCTCACACGTTTGGTAAAATCCTCAGTTTAGTACTGGTGGAGTGATAAACTCATGATATGTGAAGACGCGGGGCATTGATGACGAGAGCCAAAATGATTTCAATTAGCACGGCCGATTCAGTCCAAGAAGAAAACACAGACACAGCACAAGCAGCTGTTTTGTTTTAGGTGAGCACTGCGGAGCTGACTATTAGCTTACATCACACTTTTAACATCAGCAGAGGGACCACACTGGGGGGATATGTTGGCTCTGTTGCCATAGTAACAGTTGGGCAGAGAAACTCAGAGTGGCTGCGAAGGAGTCAAGTGAAAGGTGTGTGCTGGATGTATTTGAGTTTGGTTCTGTGCTGGGTGCACTGGCTGGTTCTCATTCGGAGATGGGGGATGCTGTTGGGGCTGTTGCAGGATGTGCACCACCCGGCCGAGGGTCTCTGTGGTGGCGAACGCCAGGTACTGGCAGCACAGCCAGTCCTCCAGGCTCACGCCACAGGCGTTGTCCAGCGAGCGCTCTGCGAACTTGATCATCATCAGTGTCCGCTTGAGGTCCAGCCAGTTCTGCAGGGTGGCCTCGCGTTGGCCCGAAGTGGCCCCGGACATAGGCCCGGTGCTGCTGCAGCCCAGCGCCTGAAACAAGTCCTCCCGAGGTCCCCAGAGGAGGCACTGGAGGCAGGCCCGCGCCTCGGCCATCCGGATTCTTTCGGAGGGGTTAACGGTGAGCAGCAAGCGCGCCAGCTGCTGCAGCCCCTGTGAGTAAAGCGATCTCACGGGCAGCGGTGGAAGGTCGGCCCAGGTGTACTCCCGCTCCTTCAACTCCGGCGTCTCCTCAAAGGGGTTGGGTCTGTGCAGCATCTCATAGATCAGAATCCCAGTCTGGAACTCATCACACTTGCGGTACTGGGTGGCTGTGATGATTTCGGGTGCCAGCCTCGACTGGTCGCGCAGCGTGCCGGGGTCATTGGCCATGAGAGTGGTCTTTTGTTTCGCTTGGGAAAAGTTGCTGATGATGAGGCGTGCGGGGCAGGTGGAGTTGGCGGCAGCGGTGGCTGCAGCGCTTGCCCCCGAGCTGCTGCCGTTGCTGTTATTGTTGGGCTCCAGTAAGTCCAGATTCCAGGGGTTGCCAGGCTGGCATTGGACCAGCAGCAGGTTTTCGAGTCGCAGGTCACAGTGGGTCACGTGGAAAGGTTTCATGTGCTCCAGCCCGGAGCAAAGCTGCAGCAGCAGCAGACAGACCTGACGCTCATACAGCTCCGGGTTTTGAGTGTGCCGGCTCATGCCTTCTCTGACAAAGTCGGCCACTGTCTGGAATGGCACCTCACGTGTGATCACCACCACTCGGCTCCTCAAGCGGCCAGCTGTGTTCATGTGACCTGCAGCCGGGACTTCATCTAGCTTCCCATTTGGAGAAGGCGATTTTGAATCTGCCATCTTAGCCTCTTTGTCCTTTACTGTCGGCCCCCCTTCCTCCTTATCTGCTTCTTCCTCCTCTTCTTCCTCTTCCCAGGGCAGCAGGCGGGCAGGAACATCAGCCAGGAAGTGGCCACAGTCCTGCTGGATGTTGAAGTGCACTGGCAGGCTCTGCCTCACTGCGAGGCTGTGGAAAAACTGCTGCTGGGTCTCCTTCACCTGGCTCCGACAGATCTGAAGAAGTACAAATAAATGTCAGAGAAAAATAACTGTCAGTCCAATGTCTTGAGTTGAAGATGAGAATTCAATCACCCTAAAGTCATTTTCAGATCTTATTTGTCCATATATCAGCAATGAAACATAGGGGAAACTTCAATGATATTCTAGTTTTCTTACTGTCACGAAATAACCCGACGATTCTGTGACACACAGCAGAAACGACACAAATGAGCCACACTGTTACCCTTAGTGTCGGCAAAAACGTCGGCATCGTTCCTTTATTTTGAGTCTCTGTCACATACACTGTCCTGCTGTCAGAAACGCTTACAGAAGCATCGGATGTGTATCGATCCCTGGCTAAAAATACACCTCGAAATGCACCCCTTACCCCTGTCAGTGCACAGTTTGGTTAAAAAAAACAAGATGCTTAGCTGCTTTAGGAAATAACTTCGAGGTTTTAAACATGAAACCTGTCACAGGCGGAGACAGGGTTGTATATTTTAAGAACAAACACTTGGTTGGTTTCAGTCTTTTCATGAGATCTGTTCACAATATGATCATAAACAATGGTTTTACTGGGATTTATTTTTAAAGTAAATCCGTCAATACCTGACCTTTTACCCATCTTCCTGTAATTCCTATATACTGTGTTTTCATATGGTCGCTGGTAACTAAATTAGATTCATCTCAATGAAATAAAACGGGGTCTACTGGCAGCAGAATTGGCCTTTTGGCTGCTGTGGGCGACCTCCAAACAAACAGCGACCTTCTGCAACACCAGGAGAGAAAACAGAACATTTCAGTGGAGAACTCAAAAACATTTTCTGTTTCTTTCGAAACTCTCTGTCCTGCTCGGTTTCTCTCAAACAATGCAGCTAATGATACACAGCTGAAAGGGCAGAAAGCCGAGCTGAGGCTGTTACAGACAGCACTGAGAGTGTGTCTCTGTCTCCTAAAGCAGTTACAGCCTCCATAGCTCTCATTCTTAATCTTTGATCACAGCACAGTGAGAGGTGAAGCCGAGTCAGAGACAGAATCAGTCTGTGCAGAAAGCATGATGTATTAGATGTCTGGGGTTGAACAACATTCTGTCCCCTTGAAAATGAATAGTGTGGTTTCATTAATAATGATCAAATTTAACCTGTTTGTCTCCACTGATGTGCAACGTTTGCAGAAATTACTCTCAGAAATTTAATAAATGTCCCCAAAATACAAAATGACTCAAAGATGTTGTGAGGACAAGTGAGTTTGCTGTAATGCATAAGACTAAACAGTGAGTTGTAAAGATGCTGTAATGAGAAACCTCTGGCAGGTGTCTAACATTTGTTGTTTACTATTGTAGAATCTGATTGTAGTGTATGTATGGATATATATGTATATACGGGAGGGCAAACCTGGATGAGACTTTGTATGAACACCGTCAGACATACAGCGATTAACATATATATATTAATATCTTTAAAAATATATACTATAAATCCCAATTGTTTTCATTTTCCTCCTATATATTATGCAAATTTCATCATCCCCCTGTGATTGTGACACAAGTTCTTTGTTTGTGTTTCCTGTGTCACTTTCAATGTATGTTTTAAACAGTAAAAACAATAAAAATCTACATGTAAAGACGAGATGCTGATTTTTCAAAGTGGCCAAATAGTAACACTCTAACGTTGCTGTAAGATAGAACTTGAAAAGTTTTCCATCTTGATAAAGAATATGTAAAAATATTGCAGCCTTTTATTAACTGTATATAGCTGCAAAGTAGCTAATAATTATAGTACTTAGCAACTGAGTCACCCTTGATATAAATCAAGACATGGATTATGAATTAAAACCTGAACATGTTTTTATAACACAACGACAACCTCAGTCATTTCACTTTATTACTTCTATTAAAAGTTTAAAGTGTTTGTTGTGATTTATGTAGATTTGATTAAACTCTCATACAGCATGAATAACCGCATCAGTGCACTCCTTTCAGACGCACCCTGTAATTGTTCAGGAATGTGCAGCTTCACTTGATGTTTGTTTGAGCATGATGGCTCACGATGACTAGACCTGCCTACTTCACTTTCTTTGAAGACATCTGCAGATTTTCAAAACTCTGACACCGTACTCGTGTTTCTGGTTGTAACACAATCCTGCAAATTAGCAGAAACTCACTGCTTTTATTACCACCTCTTGTCTCCTTAATGTCGACTCTTCAGTGATACGGTAGAGCTTTAAAGCACAGTGAGGTGCTCACTGAATTCTTTGGAGAGCTAAAGTGAGTAATTAGCACAGAAGTAAAATATGAAAGTTCAGATGCGTCATCTGCACATAAAGGGTTAAAGGAAGGCAGGGGCATAGCTGGGCTGCATTCAGACAGAGTTGGGGAAGGTTTAATTGGGAAGTTGGGGCTTGTTTCTACTGCTTCTGGTTGCCTTATTTATAGATGAGCGTCTTTAAAAAAAACAAGAGTTTCTCTTAAGCCTGCTGCTAATACGAAGGCAAGGCTTTGAAGTGGTGTGGCGCACAGTGTTTCATATCCTGTGAATAATTTAACCTTCATCCATATCTGCTTTGTGTTTAGCGTCAGAACTCTTTCGGCAAGCTGTGCCCTCAAACCACCACATGCATCTCCATACACACTGAAGACAAAGCTGCTCCTCTCGCACAATCGCACAGAGGCGAAGAAAACAAACAAACACAACAACGCTCGTTTTTATTGCACAAGGTCATGCCCTAAGGGATCAAAGTTTAAGTGCCAATATTTCACAGCACTTCAGGAAAAGAGGGGAGGAGATTCGTCGGCATAAGCACAAGGATTTTATGAATCTACTGCAAAGACAGCTACCAGAGAAAAATATCTACAATACTTTTGATGTAGCAAGAATTCAAACCAATCCCCCACAACAAATAAACACACTAATTAAGAGAAAACTAAGAACAAGCTGAACAAAGAGATGCTGAAATATTTTACTGAGATCAGAAAACATCACTTCTTTTGGGGGGGGGGACAGCTTTGACTGTAAAATAGGACAAACCTTGTTTTTCTCTTCTTTCCTACAAGTCAGTGTTTAAGGTTCTTTCGAGGTTTTAGGGTTTAAATATTCAACAGAATATGTAACACAAAAGAAGCTGTATTCATTTAACACCAAACTAAAAGAAAGAATCTCACCTTGATGGCATAATTGACCAGTGGGTCCTTGGCATAAGATGCAGTGTAGTAAACGGCGTCCCCCGCCTCACAGCAGGGTTTCCCAGTGGTCAGCCTGAAGTGGGACCAGCTTTCAGTGCCAAACCTCAAATGATCTTTCTGGCCAGCCATGAAACGGTCCTCGCATTTTGCTGCCAGTTTCCGTAGAGTGTCTGTGTGGAGCCCGCGGATCCTCCCCACCACCTCATCCCAGCTGTCCAACCCCCTGTAAAGAGCAGGTCTCTGGGGTTTGGAGGCTGTGCCGCCTCCGGCAGCTCCGCGACCCGCTGTCCGACCCCTTCCAGCCAGGGATTCTGAACTTGGGTAGACTCTCTTCTCTTTGCCGGGGGTTGCGCTGGCTGCAGCAGGTGAAGGCTGAGGGACCAGAGAGGACACGCTATTGGTCATGCGGGCCTTGTTGGTAGCTGTGGCAGCTGATGACCTCTCTAAGGAGTCACCGCTCTCATGGTCGTGGCCTCGATGTGGTTCGGAGCTCAGAGAGGAGCTCTGACTAGCTGTTTCCCAGGTGGAGTCCAAGTCATAAAGAGGGTTGGCTACACTAAGGTTGGTGCCCCCCGGTTTAGCTTCAGCTCGAGGCCTGAGGCCTCCCACTGGCTCTTTGCCTCCCAGGATGGGTTCAGTACTGGAACGAGGAACTGCTTTTTTGGGTAATGGCGGTGGTGTAGCTTTAGGGGCTGGCTGCTCAGCGAGGCCTTCGATTTCGATGGAGGCCAGTGTGTCATTGGATGCTTTCATGTTTCTTGGCTGTTTAAGTGGAATCATGCTGGCTCGAGATTTACCTGAAGGAAAGAAAACAGAAAACATTCATACTGCATAAAAAAGATCCAGTGAAACTAAAAGACTGTTGGGACCCTTCAAATTGAACGGAGGGCGTAATGATATCCAGTTCAATAAGCAGGAAGAACAGCTCCTTCAATTTCCTTGAATTAAATTCACACAATAATCTAATGTTAGTATACAACAGACTTTATATGAAAAAATTAGCCCGTTAACTCCACAACAATGATTTGACAGCACAGTTATTACCTTAAATAACCTGCAGACAGAAATTTTATAACCAAAATCTAATCAGTCAATGAAAGCATTTGCACGGATTCAATATTTCACGTATATGTATACCTTTAAATACTCATCCAAATACATTCGATAGTTTGTAAACACCATTTCTGTGTTGTTGTTGTTTTAACTCCACACTGATCAGTTAAGACACCAACAGAAACATCGCTCTCAAGTTGTTTTGGTTTGGAAGGGAGGTGGGGAATCTTTGCCATGGAAAAAAAACAACTTAAAGACCCAGATATCAGTAAAGGATACATGAAAAAAATAAAACGACACAAAAGCTGCAATTCGATAAAACTAACGAAAAATCCCTCGCCACAAAAACAACGACACACCCTTACAGCTAGGGCTTGCCCTTTGCTCTCTGGCGTTTCCAGAGAACCACTAGCTTGTTGCGTCTCTTGAGGACAAAAGGATGACATGATGATGTGTGCGACAGCACGTGATAGAGCTGGTGGCCCTGAGGCCACAAGCTGTTTCTCCAACCATCCAGCTGCCTGACTCAATCTGCAGTCCTGTTCTGTAGTGAGGCTTAAAGACGCAGCATGGAGAGCAAATTTAGAAGTGGCTTGATGTGACCTTATTTTTTTTGCTTGGATGGTGGAAGGAAGAATCCAGAAGGTTGGGAGACTGATTGGATTCCCTCAACGTTCTGTGGGGTTAATGACCACTGAGGCACACGGGTCAGAGGCAAGTGTGATAAAAGGAAAAGGCGGCAGGGGTCGTGCTGTTTGCATGATGGGAACAAAGCTCCCTGGTTTTTCTAACAAAGTGTGCACGTAGGGTTACAGATAACTCAACGTCGCGGCTTTAACTCACCAGGGAGATCTGAGTTCATGTCTTTCAAAGTCACCTCCTTCTACCAAATTACTTTGACCGTCCCTGAGGCAAATGCATGTTCGTGAACAAATCATTCCTCTTTGTGCAGCACAAATACTACTGATTATACATCGTTAAAAAGTATGGGCGACACCTCATGTGCAAGTCATGCTGACATCATCCTAAGAATGCAGGAAAAGCCTTAAGATAGAGCAGTCAGGATGAAGTAAATGAGTCTTGGTAATCCTCCGTGGAACGACTATATTAAATGTGTTCCTCCACCAATCTGCAGTAATCCATCCAAGAAAGCAGCCGTCTCCCACTTCCAGTCGTAGGGATCTTTTATTGCAGTGTGGCTGTGACTTAACTCAATTACATAAGACTGGGATTTTTTTTTTTTGCATGTGTATGATTAAGCAAATAAATCTTTAAAACTACATAAAAACAATAAAAAACACACTGTTATTTATGACACAGTTAATGTTTGCAGCTATTAGCAAAGTAGCAACTCTAAATCCCAGAATGTCGTACACCTACTGTAAAGGAACAGGGTAAATAGTTATTTGTGCATTGCAATTCAATTAAACCAAGGCCTGTGACGGTGCTCAACAGCATGCTTGAAGCAAAACCACAATTTGAAAAAAAGGGGGAACAGAAAAAAGCTGTGCACAAACATGACTACAAAGTTGATTTTTAATCATTTAAAGTCCACTGCTGTTAAACTAAACTTCTTTTACAGCAACACGAAGAACCTGATGTGTCTGAGCCAACTGCTCTGTTACTGCTCTCAGTCCAAATCTGAGTACCAGCAGATGTCAGTTCAGAGTCTCTGCTGCATCACATCACACTGTCAACAATCAGTCTGAAAACAGCTCAACAAGTGATAAATATATACACGCAAATTAGAGCAATAAAGCTAACAGTTAATATTTGTAATATAATGTGAAAACTCACAAATGCAGCGACTGATCCAACCGTTGTTCTTAAAATATCATGTCAGAGCCGTGCAGTCAAATTTCCAGGGAACAGCATTCATCAACATTTTATTCTGACTGGTTGAGGGAACTTGTTGCCATAGCAGAGCGATTGCTGCTCAGCTGCCTCCGAACTAACTCTGACACGTTAACAAGAGGCAAGCGATGGATGGAGGAGGTGGGTAGAATAAAGTAGAATAAAGAGGACCGGGGGGGTGGAATGGAGTGAGAGCGGTGGAGTAGGCGGTTAGAGGTGGTAGAAGTGGCGGTTGGGGTGGGGGGAGAATTTCAAAAAAAAAAATAAATAAATAAATAGGTGAGGGGGCTGATGGACAGAGAAAAATAAATATATGACAGAGATAAACACTGAGGAAAACGAGCAAAACAAGCTTACCTCAATTCCACTAACGCCTCAAAGTTTTTAGAGAAACGTGGTGCAGTTACAGCAGCAGCAGCAGCAGCGCCCGGAGGCAGAATAAAACGCTGTTCTCTGCTTCCATCCCTGAGAGTCTGTGAGGAGTCGCCGGTGCCAACAGACAGGCTCAGCGCTCCCACCAATAATGGAGATTTCTCACTTAAAGGCAGCGAGCACTCTGCCTCCTACCGCCTGATGCTCTGATTAAAACCCGAGCGAGACTATACTACATGACAGTGAGTGAGAGAGCGAGAGCACGCAAGAGAGAGACACTTTCATTTAAAAAGTGAACCTGATTCCTCACAAAAAAAAGAAACGTGTGAACAGCAAATGTAGCCCACAGTAGTGAAAAGCAACGCGATGCTACGGTAACAGCAGGAAAAACAGGAAACTCAAAGCAGGCGTTACACTGAGCGGCTGTGTGTCTTAGGTCAACACTTGTTTGTGTGTGTCTCAGTGTGTGGAAGGCCACACACCTCCTCCTCCCAAACAGAAACGACACGCTGTTCTGTGCGATGTTTGACAACACGGATACACAAACTTCTATCTAGCCCCTCATTAGCAGTATGCAGCAAAGTTAAATTAGGCTGCAGGCAGCTCGCTGCGTGCGTCATCCAGGGAGCTTTTAACACAACCCATCCACAGGGCCCGTGTGCATTTCAAGCTTCACAAACAAACCCGTGCAAATGCTGCATTCCCAGTTTGCACATGCCTTCTGAAAAGAGAGGGAAAAAAAGGCCTAATTAGTACAACAGTGCCAGAGCAACACAAATATTTTGTCACTGCTGAATCCTTAAACAGGAAGTTGTATAGTTTAATTCTCTTAAACATCACACGTCCACATGTGCGACGACGCAGCGAGGCACCTCAGTTGCACAGCTGCTCTGCAAACCCACACTCTCTAACCCTTTCGCTTTGTGTTTCTATTTCTTGTTCTCTCACATGCCACTTGATCACGGAGAGATCCGTTTCCCACACAGAGAGCTTCGTGTGTTAAGTGCCCCGACAGTACTCGACAGCTGTGCCTACCTCTCTGTTATAGAAGCTGGGCTGTATGTGCTTATTGTCAAAGTGAGAGAAAACCTGTAAAGCGGAGCAGCTAGCAAAGTTGAAATGAAACCTGTCCATCAGCAAGACACTTTATTATCATGGAGTTACAGGAATGTGATGGACAAAGAACCTATTCAACTTCCTGTTAACACAGATATCAGCCAATCACATAGCAGCAACTCAGTACATTTAGGCATGCAGACAGGGTCAAGATGACCTGGTGAAGTTTAAACTAAGCAACAGAATGGAGCAAACAGTCCTGAGAACCTCAAAGATGGTTGATGTCGTGGGATTTTCCCACACAAGCATCTCTGTGGTTCACAGAGAACCTTCTGAGGTCACAGAAGAATGGCCAGGCTGCTTCGAGGTGACAGGAAGGCAAAATTAACTCAAACAGCTGCTTGTTACAACCAAGCTACACAGAAGAGCATCTCTGAATCTACAGCAGCAGAAGACCACACCGAGTACCACTCCTGTCTGCCAAGAACAACAAACTGACGCTACAATTCACACAGGCTCACCAAAATTGAGCAACAGAAGTTTGGAAAAGTGTTGCATGGTCTGAATTTCTACTGCAGCATTCAGATGGTCAAAATTCTGAAACATTACAGCTTGAAAGCAGGGATTCAGTCTGAACCACTGATACAATAGCTCAGGCTGGGGGATATTTTTCCTTGGAAGATTTTGGGGTCCTTAATACCAACAGCATCGTTTAAATGACACAGCCAACCTGAGAATTGCTGGTGCTGATCAAGAACGACCATTTCTGATGCACAGAGTGTGAGTATCTAATATGTCAAAATTAAAAAATTTAAAAATTGTATTTAATATTCTTTTCTTTTATAATAAACTTATACTTTTACTTAAACTTATACTATACTTTTAACATTTCAATTTTTTTTTTTTAAATTTTCTGGCACTTATTTCATGGTTGGGGCATTAAAGGGTTTATGCCCACAGTGTGCCCATCCTCTGATGGCTTCTTCCAGCAGGATAATGCTCCATGGCACAAATCTCAAACTGCTATCTTGAATATCACAGTGAGTTCATTACACTGTGGCGTCCACAGGCAGTCTGCAGCAACTGTGTGATGCTTCAAGTCAATATGGATTTAAAAATGGAATCTATGCTACCAAGAATTAAAGCAGTTCTGGAGGTAAAAGTTCAAAACAGTACTAGAAAGGAGTACCTAAGTGAATGTATGTTGTCTTGTTCATGCAGAATAACTTGTTTTTTTTAAGTATCAGGGAGCAAATCTGCAATGTGCTGGCTGAATTTTTTTTCTGTGAAAAGAACATCAAGGCCTCAAAGAATTTGTTCTTGTGCCTCCCAATTGTTTACCGATGTCTTGCTGTTTCTAGGAAATGGGACAATTTTCAGAGAAAAAAATATCCAGAGATATTTTTATGCCGTTTCTTGGCTACAAGACATGTGATTTAAAAAAGAAAACATAAAAACTCCCCACAATATTTATCCTATTAACAGTACTGTGGTTAGCCATGTAGTCTATGCTCTTATACTGTGTGAAAGCAGCAAGGCAGGTAGCCCTATTACAATCTTATCAGTCAGTCATGATATAGTTTCAAGACAGAGACACAGGATATGAGAAAAGAAAACAAAGAGGAGGATTGTGATTAAAATGGGATTTATGCAGGTCCCCAGGGTTCTCAGTTTTGATCACCATCAGGAACTGAACCAGCTTCATGAGTAGGATCAATAACCCCAGGGCAAAGATTCTCCCACCTCCAACGAAAAAAAACAAACATTTTTTTTGTAATATGTTATTTTAGGCACCGAGCTGCAGGCTGTGTGTGAAAAGATGTGTCGAGATTTCGGGCTCCAGCTGTTTTTGCAGAGAATAAATTATGCCCTGTCACATGAGAAAGTGTGCTGATACAGGAAGAAAGTAAAATCAGCCACTCAGGAGTGAAAGAACTGCCAAAACTGCCAAAAAACCCAAGTTCACCGGTTTGGCAAGCTTACAGCGACAGCAAAGGAGGGTCTTATACACTGACATGTCATACTTTCCTGTTTTTGTATTTTTTTTTATATACTAATTAGTGCAAACAATGTTGAATTCAATAATTTTGGTGTATAATCCATATTTTATTTGCAGATTATCTTTCCTCATTACTTTATCTTCAGTTTTTGTGAGCATTGTGATGTGACAAATCCAGAATAAAAATCAGTTGAAGAATGCAATAGATGGATGTGTCTTAAGACATCAGGCAGAAAAATCTGTCACACACAGTCAAAACCTACTTATGTAGACAATTCAATCATCCTGACTAAGCCTACGCACCACAGAAGGCATCATCTTAAATTTCAGGTTTCTCCAGCACTAATATAAACATGAGTTTAAAAAAACAAAACAAAAATCCTTCTCTATCCATCTTTCATATTTCACTCTTACCCAGATTGCTGTAGGTGGCACTGCACTGGCTGGAGGCAGGAGAGTGAGAATAATGAGAGTGAATCCCGTCGTCCTCAGGCTCTCCCAGGCTGGCGCTGCCCTCACTGGCCGCGGCTGTACTAGCAACCTGGTTGGCATGGCCCTCCGCGGCCTCCCCAAGCACCAGCCCCAGATTCACTTTGGCAGGCAAGGAGGTGGCGCTGGGCAGCTCCCGATCCCTGGCGCTGGCACCGACTGGTACCTGGCTGCACATGACAGAGAGAGGCATGGTTCATTTAGTTTCTTCATCTACTGGTCTGCCTACACGTGACTGCACTTGCTGACAGTATTTTTCCCAGTGCTTCCATTGCCAGACTCGACAGAGTAGCTGGTATTGTTTTAACCTTGTAAGTCTGTAAGTGCTTTTGTGTGAGCTCATGGCGCACTCTGGTTCTTTCACATTATGCTGTAACAGCGGATCAAAATGGAGCCCAAAGTCCTGAGATGGAGGTGTACTCATAACAACTCTGTGTTATAAAAATACCAGAATAAATACGATGATGAAGTTTAAAACAAAAAAATCTTAAAATTAGTTTTACTGTCACAACAAGTGGAGGATCACTCTGTTTGAATCAGCTGGTTGTGTTTGGGGTGTTCTGAACACACATGTTGCCAACAGGGAAGCTACAGAGCGCCCTCTGCAGGACGAGCAAAGCAACATTAACACTGGCTGAAGGGTGTTTCTCCCTCTTTACTTTTTACATTTTTATTTATCGACAGTTACAAATAATTATATCAATACACCAACAATATATCAGAAAATAGCTTAAATCAGGCGAGATATTGGCTGCACTAATAAAGCTGTATTACAGAGTACTGATAGCATGACTATATTAACTCCTACTGAGTACTAAAGGGTTGAGACATCAATATGTTGATGGGTGTGGCGGCTGATCTGATCCTGTTGCCAGACTGCCTCGACTTTTATTAATCTTTTCATGACAAGCTTTTGCTCTTCAAAGAAATATCAGCAAAACAACTCATAAAAGAAGCAATATAATAATAGAAGGCTCATATTGGAAAGACACTAGTGCTGCAGAATGATGAATGAGTTGCTTATGATAGGGACTTTAATCTGTCATTCATTCCGTCTATGAAACTGTATCTAACATCTCAGGATATAAACAAAAACACATACGACATTGGTTTTATCTGGTCAGTCTTTTTTTCCATCTCTGATATCAGTATGTGCCTCACTCTATCAGCACACTTCATCTTCCTCAGCAAGTGATAAACTGGAGCCAGTGCAGCTGTCAGTGGGAGGCTTTTGAAGCTTGATGCGTTTTATATGCAACTACACATACGGCGCCTGAGGGAAGGTGTAAGAAAAAGGCAAAGCAAGTCACAGCACAGTATGATGACATGTTTTGAAGAACCATTCATCAGTAGGTGGCTCTGATTTGAGGTGTTTAAGGAGGTGAGATCAGAATATTTCACAGATATAAATGCCATTATTAACCTTTTTTATTATTATTATTATTAAATTATTCTTTTTTTTTAGCTTTTTTTCTTTAAACATGTCTTCACTAGGACTGTAACATTCGAATGTGTTGAAAAATACGCTAATGAATCCATCCTTCAATTAAAAAAAAACCCAAAAACTTTCTGGAACATATCCCAGCTGACATGGAGCTAGAAGCAAGTTATACCCTGGACAGGCCTTTGGTTCATCAGGCACACAGGGAGAGACAAGTACGCACTCTCACATCAACACTTACAGGTCATTTAACACCAATTAACCTGTCGAAGGAAACAGAAGGAAACTCACGCAGGCACAGGAAAAACATGCAAATTCCACAAAGAGTTATGGTAAAAGGTAAAAAAGGTAAGACTAAAGAATTGCAAAAAAAGGTAACGCTCAAGCTCAAGAACTTTAAAGATAAGGTGTGCAAACTCTCACCACTAAATGTCAGTAGATTGCAGTTTGCAGTCGACTGAGTTTTGTTATATATTTTTGTTATATTTTGTTTTTCTGTTACAGGAAAAACAACTCTGAGTGCCGTTCATCTCCAGTGAGTATAGGCTGTCAGGTTGCTGTTTACCTCTGCTGTCAATATGTATCCTCATCTATTTACTCTCAAGGAGGCTGTAAAATTCAGATGTGAGTGGATGAGTCAGTGAAGCTCACTTCTGACCGATCACAGTGATACTGAGGTGAGCTGCTGAGGATATCCTGAACTTTTCTGTCAGTAATCACTGCTGTTCCTGCTGCTGTTAGTGAAACTGTGTTACTGTCTTTGAAGTGGATCTAACATCGTAGTACTCGGACTGAAGCATATGAAGCTTGAGGGAGGAAGAAGAGAAAGTGGTGACATAATGAGAAAGAGATGATAAAAATGCACCTGTTCAAATGCTTTTTGCGATTTGTAAATGAAAATTCACTTATAATGCTTACTGGGGAAGTGGCTGGGCTCTTGCCACGTACACAAAACACAATCAGGTTTAACAACGATGTCCATCTATCACACTTGTACTTTTAATGGATTCATTTTAAGTTTATAACAATGTATGGATTTGTTGGAAGGCTTATTTACACACTAATCAAAGTATATTTCTTGGCACAACATTTTGTTTTATTCATTCAAAAGAAATGACTGTATCTTTGAGCACAACAGCTTTCCTTGTAATGGTGTGTTGCTGTGTGCTTTCACACTATGTAATAGTCTTCATTACAACACCAGACAATGACTTCATCATGTGCTAACCCCATTGAATTGCGGGTGTGAGAATTCTGGGCCACATCTGAAATTCACCCATACTGTGTAATAACTGTGATAACTCCACTCACCAAAGCATATTTGGAAGCACCCTAGTGCATGTTGTTGACAAAGATGCAAGTTGTACAGGCAATGTGCCGTGTATGTGTCTTCTTAAGTAAATAACAACACAGTACTGGGTACTACGGACAGTATTGCCTTTTCTGGCATAGCAGACAGAAACCAGAAACCATTTGAATGAATTAAAATGTTTTATTTAAGCTTCATGAACTCTAGAGTGAAAACGACTTTTAGTACTAACCAATTAATAGATTAATGAGTAGCAATAGTTTTCCTTCCTCTGATTGGAAATTACAGTGTCAAATATTTACAGCTGCTTGACATACTATCATCGTATTTATTACTTTACAAGAGAGGAAGAGGAATAACGGCTTTTTTTTAAGCGGGGGGGGTAGTAGTGGACACTGAAATAATTAGTTTCACTACAGCCAAAATCAGTACGTCAGCTATATCTATAAAGTAGATCAGCAACCAACCCAAACAGGAAGTTTATGACACTTTTTCGTGCCCCTGTCAAAAGCAGTAGGAGAACAACTGCAATAACCATGCAGAGAACAGGGCTTGTACAATGCTTTGCATTTTAGATATTATGGTGGTGGGGATATATGTCAAATTTTATCTTGAGTTTAAATGTAATGCATGAAAAAGATTCATTGTCAAAGACTATTTAAAAAAACTTTAAAGGTCATGAAAAGTTCGCACTTGTTTTCACAGCCGCAGGCAATGTCATGGGTGGGACCGGCTGGCAGTAATGTTTGTATTATGCTAAATCAGATGTGTCATTTCCTTTAACTGTAATGTTGATTGCACACTGGCATGACTAATGATTTGTGTGATCATGAGCAAAAGTCCCTAAAGTACAGCTCATGGGACAAAGCTCATCAAGATATTTGAGCTGCTTGATACACTGTAGGACACTTTTTCCTAAAACTAAAACAAACTTCAAGAGAACAAGTTGAAATTATTCTGTCAACAACTAGCCAGCCACTTACTCACAGCTGCTCACAGTTACTCATATTCTTTGTGTGTGAGAAAGTATAGCATGACTTAAGGCCCATGTGTGGCAGGAATAACAAATTAGCTTTAAATTACACAAAACCACACCAAGTAGTTTTATATTTAACAAAAAAAAAAAAAAAAATTCAAGATAAAAACAAAGGTTTCATTTCAAAGAAGACAGTAATAATTGTAAAAGTTAAATGCTTTCATGAAATGGGTAAGAAGAACAAAAAAAGGAAATGAGTGAAGCAAAGTCTGACACGTTTTTCACCGGGCTGATCAATTACATTTTAGGTCTAAAAAAACATATAAAACAAAATTTCCATGGCAGTCCAAGGTCAACCACCTTGTTTATCGTCTTAACATTAAAAATATTTGATATTTTGAGGGGGAAAAAGGAATTAAACTATTACGTGATTTCCTAACAGAATGGCATGCTGTGTTATCTTGCATCTCGCTACAGCCAAATGCACTGGACGTTAATCTGTTTCTTTCTAATTGCCGTTCCCCTTGTGTTTTGGTGCAGACTCATTGTTCATTTGGAAAACTATTGCAATATCTGACCGTTACATGAAAGAAAAGAGTTATCAAGACAACACCTAGCGGCTTGCGTTTCTGTCTCCACCCTGGAGCGCTGTGTTGAGGAAAACATCAGACGTGACACATTTATGATCTGTCTCAGCTGTCTCTTAAGGCTATAAACCGTCCATGTCTCTTCTAAGAGTTGATCGATAGTTCCCAAGGTACTATCGTGCATTACTTCTGCACTTACCAGCGGCTGACAGTTAAAATAAAAACATAACACAATGTTGTCGGCTAACAAGGAATCAAAAAGTAAGTAAACTGTGAAAAGATGAAGCAATCAAAACTGCACCCTGAAAACTGAGTAAGCCAAGACAGCTTATAGAACATTGTCGAGGCAAAAGATCTTCTGTTCTGCCTGTACACGCCAGCGTATTCTTATTCTTCCCCGTTTTTTGCTTTGCACAAAGCTGACACTGATTTTACTCAGATCCGGTCTATTATTAGCTAACAACTAGCTATAATGCTGCTCAAAAGAGCACTAAATCACAAAGAGCCCAATCTCCACTTCAAAATCCCGTATGAACAAAACATCCAGGGTAAACTTTGAGAGGCCTTGATACAAATACCTTTATGGCTGCTACATGTTCCAGCGGTCAGGACCTGACTTGTTTAGACATCGCAAAACTGCCTGGGTGCATTTTCACTCCTCTGCTGCGAGAGAAGAATAACGCCTCATCCAAAATGCAAATCAAATTAAATTCAAACCTCTCTTCCCGCTGTGTCAATGTGACTTCAAATGACCAGGCTGGTCGTAGGTTACAAAGGTGTGCGGCAGAAGAGAGTTTAAAGTTCTTACCCGCTGTACTGGCTCACACAGCTTCCCATCTAGAAACCCTGAACACAAACGTGTAGATGGAATCACATTCTAGGTACAGCAACCGCGCTGTTGAGAAGAATAAAGAAAGTCTTTTTCTGCATGTGTTCTTTCCTCGTTCTCTCTCCTGCTGCTTCCTCTTTGAACGCTGTTACCTGTCTAAGGTAATGTGTGTTTGCCAAAGCTGAAGAGCACACCCACTGTTCACCAATAAAACTGATTCAAAACCCTTCCAGGCTTAACCCCTCATCTGCCAAGCAATATGAAAGCTGTTAAAATGAACTCTGGAACTGGTTCATAATATGTGAGTTTGTTTGTGTATGTGTTGTATAGGTTTATAAGAAGACTACAAAAACATGTTACACCTTTTCTGTCAAATGGGTCTTGTGTTTCTAGGTAAGTAATTAGTAAGTGATTAGTCGCAAAGGTTGCTGTTTTTAAAACCAAACATTAAATTTGGTGTTGGGTGTCTGTATACAAGACTTAAATCCATTACCCTGCAGAAGCAATCTTTTAAACAATAAAATTGAACTGGGATCTTTATGAATACTTCCCATCCTTTTATTATCCGTCACTAAAACAGGGTGACACATTTTTTATTTATTTTTTTTTACACATTTTCACAACATGAAAGTAATCTCAGGCGCTAGGGACAAATATTTAGCTGCTTGTTCCTTGAAAAACACAGCACCCTACCACCAACACGCCAAGTGAAGAAATGTAGTAGTTTAGTTACTAATTGACAACTTAACAGCGAGGTCCCAAACAACTGCTTATCAATGTCAGGTGTGAAGAACGGTTAGACCAAAGGTGAGAAGCTTCTGAAGGTTAGGCTAGTTAGTGTTAGGATTTATATCATGCTAGCTTAACACAGATGCTTTTACAGGAACTCTGAGTCGAGGGTATACGAGTGTGTTTTACAAGGTGTGTGCATTACACCACTTAAATAAGTACCAAATACTGACTTTCAAACTTGTTAGAATTATTTTTGCCTTATATACTGTATTGCCATGACCGTTTCAATAAAACACTGCAGTTATTTTCCATTTTCCTACCAAAATATAAAGAAATGGGGATAGCTCAAAACCTTTGCACTGTACTGTAATAATAAGCATATCGTCTGGATTTCTGGACTTATTATCTGGACACTCATTGTAGGGAGCAGGAGTGGAAAGCCTTCTCACTTCATTTGAGTAATCCTTTGTGCTCTGTGCAAGCTTTGCTTGGACTAATTACTAGTAGGTATTGGCAACATGTACTGGGTGCTCTCAGTGGGTATATAGAGCACACCCCAATATAGCCCACTGCTGTAAAGCACTCAGCAGACGTGCAATAATATTATCAGAAGCAGTGCACATTTGATTCTTGCACATGTTGTTATAAGGTTAGGCGAGAGATAGGAGCTTGAGCAGCAGAAAGAAAAGAGACAGAATGGGGCTGAGCTTTTGACAAGATGGAGAAGTGAAACATTTAGGAGTTCACAGTACTTCGGCCTCGAAAGAGAAGATTTTTGAAAGGAAAGCATAGAAGAGGAGTGAACTACACTAAACAGAGAAAAGAATGGTGGGAAAACATTTTCTTTTCTTGGAGGAAAAGAAAAACAAAACAGGACATGGACATGGACAATATGAGGGTGGCACAGATATAAAGGGACTAAGCAGGAGGCGAGAGATAAGGTGAGAAAAAGATATAAACTGTGTCTAGATGTGATGCATCTTCAGTAACACTTATGGAAAGTTATTCCTAATAATGTGGGTAGCTGTGGGTTACAGTACATGAAACAGGAGAGGGAACGGTGCTGTTGTCAGTAAGTCTCCAGTAAAAGGTCCAATCCAATTATCCATCCATTCTCTGGACCCTATCTCAGCCACCATAGAGCCCTATGGACCCTATGGTAGCAGGTCCAATTATGCAAAATAATTTTAATGTGCTTTTTTTTACTCAGTATTTAAACACAGAAGAAAGCAACCTTGGGAAGCAAGGAGGTCGTTCAAATCAATTCACGAGTATTTTCTAATATATTACAAAACATTTTTATAAAATATTTTCTAATATATGGTGTTTGATAGGTTGAAAAAAAGAAAGAAAAACCAATCATAGACAAATCACTGTAGCTGGTGAACTTCAAGCTCAAAAGCATTTTCATTTTCTGTCTGTCAACAAACAGTGAAGAAATATGAAACTTTGACATAATTGCTTTTTAATATCTCCAAAGTCCAAGCCACATTTAGCTGATTTGACTATTTACCATCCCTACATTAAATGTAAAATTATACAATGCTTCAATTCTGAGTCACAAACAAGCTCACAGTTTAGTGCAGAACATACGATGCATCTGATAATATCTGGGTTATCATTTTTCAGCACCATTAGTCACACTGCAGGAAAAGTGCCTCAAGATATACTGAGGGCAATGGCAGGTCAAAGAAAAATTGTGAAATTAGAATACAAGAACACCGCACCTACACTGCGAGGGCTAATTAGTGTGAAAGAGTGCATATGAATGTGGTTGAAGCTTTGATACAGCCGCAGCTTTGACTAGCTGCAGGGAAAACTCAGTCTAAAGTTGGGTTTAATAAATGTGTTATTGAACAACTTGCAGGAAACGGAGGGCTACTCTTAAAGAATGCACTGTGCGCAAAGCCTGCTGTGCAGGTAATAGAGGATATTACAGAAGAGATCACACCACAGTGGGCTGGGTAAGTAGGAAAGGAGACATGCCCGATTGAGATCAAATACCTCTCAAATCTGTGATGACTGATATGTATGACGGGGAGAGTAGCAACTATGACACTTGAAGCAGCAGCTGATAAAGGCTGAGCATGTTCATATTAAGCTGGTTCCCATGAGTACAATGAAGGAAACCTGTGTAGGTAATGGTAATACTGGCATAGCACTGCAAAATCATTCATTAATTCGCTGGAGGTAACAGAGGAAAAACATGTGTGAACATGAGTGATAGATTCTTACTAGTTCTACTCTGAGTCTTACACAAAAATGGACATCTACAACTAATTGGGTAAAAAATATTAATTTTGCTTTTAATATGTCCCAAGGGTTGAAATCTGTTTGTTTTTTAGTGGAACAATTTATCCTATATTGTTATCCTATATTAAAAAACCCCACATTCTGTCATAACCCCCACAATGCTGGTATTATTTCTACTTTTGTACTTCAAGTAAAGAACATACTGTACACCACAACTGTATTAGTTTTTGGTTTTGAAATGATCACATATTTTATAGCAGTTGTTAGCAACACAATTCAACTCACTTTAGTTTAGCTGAAAGTTAAAAAGGTACAATCAGTAGGTTTTTTTTTAGGTTATTTAGTACAAGAAAAGGATATTGCACTCATAAATATACAGTGATTAGTTGTAATTACATCCTCCAACAAACTGATGCATTCTTATAAACTTATAAATGAATCCATTAAAAACACACAGGAGGGGAAAATGTCATGTTGACCTGCTATTTCAAATACAGTAGCCTAGATGGACATTGTTGTTTTACCTAATTGCGTTTTATGTATGTGGTTAGAGATCAGTCACATAGGTAGTAAGCTAAAGGTGGAGGAGTAGAGAGCTTGCAGGCAAATTGTTATTTCTGTCTGCACCTTCAGATTGAAGATATGAAGGATCACACATATGGTTTATCATCTGAGAAGGGGTCTCCTTCGTGAAAGAAGTGAAAACATGAAGGGAAGTGACAACACCACCAGCATCTGAATAAAACATCATCCTTGTCGATAAACATGATTATTTATTCCTGATATTGTCACAGTTACTTAATGTGACATGTGATCATCTCGTTTCCAGACAGCTGACAACAAGCCAGCTAAACAACGACAGCATGTTATAAGCTAACATTATCCAAGCTAATTTTAGGCTTGAGTGTCCTAAAAAAATTCACATTCCCTCCGACAGTTTAAACTCTCATACAATGTGAAAATGCAATTATTTGCTATGTGTAAAGGTCTAACAATGTCAGATCCACTTCAAGGAAAGTTTCATTAACACTGGCTAACAGCAGCTAACTGTGCCTAACAGCAGCAAAAACAGCTGATCTGACTGACAGAAAGGGTCAGGATATTCATCACAACTCACCTCAGTATTGCTGTCATCGGTCAGAAGTGAGCTTCACTGACTCATATCGACATGTATCGGGCTCATTTGACAAAGTTTTAAAGCTGTTTGTCAGCACGCTCCGTAGCTAGGATTATGCAGCTGAATTGAGAGGGGTAAGACAATAGAACTCAACACTGCAATCTGCAAACCTACTAAAATCTAGTGGTGAGATTTTATGAACATGTTTGAACATGAACATGTTTCATGTTCTGACAGTATTCTTATTGAAAACCGAAACTACAATTAAATAACTTCATTTTTTAGGGCATTTGCGGGTGTCAGAAGACTAAACAAAAATTTTAAAATACCTTAAATCCTTGCAATTTTCTCCTCCAGCCTTGGGTGAGGATGTTGTTTTGCCTGGACTCAAAGGCCTAGGATCTTTGTTTCCGTCAGGTTTCAGTAGTGTAGTTTCTCTGCACTCCTCTACCCGTAGTTCTCCTTCATCGCCGTGGCTACTGCCAGTGTCTGGTTTATAGGTGAAGATAATGGTTGGTTTCTGGGTGGGATCTTCTGCTTTTGCCTCAGTGAACCAGTGCTGATTTTGAGCTGGTGGTGGTGGAAGCATGTGAATGACAGTTCCATCAAGCCCGACAAGCTTTCCCTTCTCCTTCTCTCTCTCCAGCTTTTCCCTCTGCTCATCCTCGTCTTTCCGCCTACGAAAAAAGCTCTTGAAGGAGATCCAGCGTTTAGGTTTGGAGCTTTCTGCTAAACTACGTCTCCCTTCCCCTCCAGGACTCGCTTCACCTTCGCCAGGTCGCACTGGTGAACTGGAGGCAGAGCTCTTGGTCCAGTTTCCAAAATGTCTCTGGAGTATGTTAGAAGCATGATAAGGAGAGGATGTAGATCTTGGAGGAGGGAAGGGGGCAGTGGGCTCAGGCTGGGGGCTTGAGAGTGGGGCAGCAGCAGAGGCACTCTGAGACTTAGACAAAACTTTTGAGGGTGTGTCTTTCTTTGACTTGGAAAGACAGCCATCAGTTGGGGAAAAGAGAGACTTGGGCCGAAGAAGGGTCTCCTTAATGGCATCAGGTGGGAGGGCATATAGCTCCTCGGAATTAAAAGATTTGGTTTGTGCTGATGGGGACTCCGGAGGAGATTGAGGAGGCTGGATGGAGGCCACAATCTGTGAAAGCACAGCACTGGCTTCCTCCCTATGGCTTACAGCTGTCCCAGAAGATAAAGCTAAGCTTGTATTATCATCTTTATTGCAAGCAGCATCTCCACCTGTCTTATAAGTGTGTGTAACAATACTGGCAGTAGTGCTGGCTGCAGGTACGTTTGCATTTGCAGTAATGGCAGGATTGGCGGGAGAATTTGTTGATGTAGTGGGTGAGAATGCCCCACTTGTCGAGCCCATTACAGTGCTTGTCACAGTGCAAGAGTCTGTAGTGGTTCTAGGTTGTAGATTTGGTGCTTTTGACACTGCTTCAAGTGGAACCTTTGTCTCTTCAAAGGAGGCTCGCTCTGATGTTCCTCTACCAGAGAGAGTTTTCTCTGTTGAGGCGGACTGGACACTCTCAGAGGATCCAATCTCTTCATAAGTATGGCTGGCTACCCTATTACCCATCCCTTTTGTCTGTGGTAGCTCCCCACTGAGTCCCAGAAAGCTCTTATACACAGCTAGGTTATCATATGCACTTGGATTAATAACAATAGGTACCTTGACAGCATTCTTGGCACTGCGGGCATAAGCAGGCTCATCTCGGATAATAATGGGAAAAGGAGGCATGCCTGCATTATTGAAACTGTTAAATTTGATTTCTGATAAATTGGGGGATTTCACAGGTACAGTTCGAGAAGAAGATAGCCCAGCAATGGGAGAAGTGGGAGCTGACTTGTGGCTGCAGTGCTGAGTGGTCAGGGCAGGGACAGGATTATTCCCAACCCCTGAATCTATTTTAGGTATTTTTTGGCGAGGGCTTGTGCTTGATGTCCACACTTCTTGGTAACGTATGCTGCTAATCTTCTTTTGGGATGAACCTGACAGAGCAAAAGAAGTAGGTGATGTTGGCATCACAGGAGAAGACACAGATATTGGGGACGTTGGAGCTACGGCCTGGGCTGAAGGAGTGCTACTAGATGTCGTAGGGCTTGAAGGCATCGATTGGTTTTTGGGTTTTTGAGAATCTGGAATCTGTTCATCTTTATTGGCCATGGATGCTGAGACATCTACTACAGTGTAAGGCTTACAGATCAATGACTTTTCCAAATTTACTACACGGTATGGTTTAGCTTGCTCCTCTGTGGGACTAAAACTTATAGTGACTGGCTGACCAGGAAGCGCTTGGGGCATTGGCATCCCTTCTCTGCCATCCTGATCCTCTAATCTGATAGCCAGGACAGCCTTGTGTGTTTCAGCTACCTTTAGTGGACTCAGTGCCCTGTTGACAGATTCCTTCTTAGGAGGAGAAGTGCAGGTGATAGGTGGCTTACAAAATGTGGGAGAATGCAAGCCATTTCGAAGGACACAGTTAGCGCTGCTACCACTGCTGGATGTTGTTCGAGAATCCTCCGGTATTGATGACGATGATTCAGGAGAAGTGGTAGACTCAGAATTTGACAGGAAGCCGCTGCCTAGCATATCGTGAGGTCCGTAGGAAATCAGCCCTCCATTGGAATCCACAGAAGGATAGCCATTTAAGATCTCATCATAGCTATCATCATAGTCCACCGCACAAATTCGCTGTAGTGAGCGGTTGCGAAGCGGCACAGTATTCCACTTTTTCCCCGCAGCAAAGGGAACGGGAGACAATGTGGCAGCACGGAAATTAGCAAATCGTGGTTGTCCTCGCATACGGATTTCCATGGCTACCAACTCTTCATCGCTTTCATCCCAGCTCTCATGCTCTTCATCATCATCCCTTTCAGTGTCTTCCTCATCATCATCATCATCTTCATCCTCCTCATCTTCACTTTCACTTGTAAAGTCCGGATAACAAAAGCGACCACCTTCTGTGCTGATGATTTTGGTACTATCGCTCAGGGATACCCGTTTTTGAGCAGTGCTCCCAACTCCACCACCACCACCACTACTACTTCCCATAGCCAGACAGCTTGAAGCTGGTATGCCTCTTTCTAAGGATCGTCGGTATGAACTACTGATCCGACCCCAAAACAAGTCCTTTGAGCCAGAAAGTTGCGTGGGACTAGAACCAGGGCCCAACCCAGCAATCTCTTTAAGTACATCTGTCAATCCACTGTTGTTATTTCCACTAGGTGTCCTTGGGCTAAGTGGTCCATAACCCTCAATCTCATCATTGTCATCCTCTCCTTCATTGTTGTTGCTGGGCCCACCAGGTCTTTTGCGGTTCAGTCCATTGCGATTCCAGACTGTGAAGGCTGATGTTTTCCCCTGCTCTATTACCTTTGGCGGTTGCTGGAGATTGCCATCTGAATCAAGTCCTGCAGAGGAGCAGGGCAGCATCATAGTGGGCTTAACAGCGATGGTTGGCTTCTTGGCCACAGGTGGACGGAAGTGTCCTGAGCGAGCAGATCCACTGCCAGTCCGCTGGGAGTTGGTGGTGGTATGGTTAGGATTGGCTCTGGCACCAGCAGCTGGAAGGTTCTGTTGCTGGGATGTTTGAGGTCTTTGCTCAGAAGGAGGCTTCCCTCCACTACTCTGAGCTAGACAGTGCAAACTCTTTGGTTTAAAGCAGTTCTTGCACTCGCCTGGTTTCCACACGTGCTCTGTGAAGGTGCTGCAGGCCGACATGGCTGCGGGTCCAGTAAGTCAGCCCTTTAGGTCAGTGGACAGGAAATCCCTCCATGAAGCTCCAAACTACAGTGAGTATCTGTAGATGAATAATGATTGAAACAATTCAAACGTGGAGGACCTCAGACCTGAAAAACACAACAGGAGAGAAAAGAATACATTCAACTTAATTCAGTTAGTTGTGCATTTAGATTTATTCATGCAACACTGGTAACAAAGAGTAGGATGAGGCAGAAAGGCAGAAGCAAAAACACAACAAAAAATAATCATCTGTGGGAGGGAGAGAATGATTCAGAAAAGCAGTATTTCAATTTCTCCATTAGGTGGCAAACTTTCTCTACTACCTCAGTCCATCCTACAGGGAGCTGATCTGTTTTCTAACCCAAAATGGTCCTACAAGACTCAGAAAGGCAAGGGGCAGAAGCAGTGGGAACTGAAACAGGTTATTTCTGTATTATTATGGACTGTTTGAGTCAAGCTTAAGTAAAATGAAGTCACTGATGTTGTTACTGAATCAAAATCCAAAACCCTATGAACTGTTACTCAGATGGAAAATGTGATTCAGCAGAGTTCACACATGATCAGTGTGACCAGTGGCTCTTGTGATACATCCATCCATCCATTTTCTTCTGCTTATCCAATTCAGGTGTGCAGGGGGGGGGGGTAATCCCAGCTTCACAAGGTGAGTGGTGGAGTACACCCTGGAGAGGTTGCCTATCTGTCATGGGGCCAACACAAGAGACAGACAACCATTCACTCTCACATTCACACCTATTCACAATTTAGGTTTACCAACTAACTGAACCTCATGCATGTTTCTGGACTGTGGGATGAAGTCTGAGCGTGCAGAAAGAACCCAAGCAGGAAAAACGGGGAAAACATGCAAACTCCACACAGAAAAGCCCCAGACTGGACTTTACCAGGACCTTTTTGCTGTGAGGGAACAGTTCTAACCACTTTACTATGTGCAGGGCTTCTTCTGATACATATTCACATAAAATTTGATGACAATGAGGGATGACTGATGGCTATGGAAAATGTGTTATCAGGCCAGTGAGTGATTTCCTCTTAACTGTCAATATTTGATGTTTCACTGCTGGAAATTAGACTGAAATCCACAAAATATCAAAGAGTAAAGCCTCAAGGCAAAACCAAGTAAAAATAAAAATATACAAGAAACCCAAGAACATTCACAGTTCACAGCCTTTGGGGTGTGACTGAAACTTATTTTCAAAATAAGCATTCAATAAGACACCTCAGTCAATATTAAATCACCTGTTGAAATTGGCTTATTTAATATTCTCTTCATGCTGGACTGAATGCAAACAACCAAAGACCTGAAAACTGGCACTGAACCACACAGTTACTGTTTTAAGTAAAAATAAACTCTAAAAACAATGGCACCTATTAAAAAAAACAACCCACTTAAAAAAAAAAAAAGATCAGTGGTGAAAAATCCACACCATTCAATCTGTAAAATGACAAAGGCTGACATTTAAAACTCTGGTTATCAGCACAAGTCCAATTATCCGGTTATATTTATGTACTTCTGTAATTATACAATGCTAACAAAAAGTACCAGAGTGATAAAGGCCCTACCCTAGTTGTTTACTAAATACATTCAAAGAAGGAAAGATGGGATTAAACATTTTTCTGGAACCCTTGTTATATCCGGTTAAGCCCCACTTCAATGCAAATCATGAATCTAATGGAGGAAGAAAGACAAAGAAAAAGCCATTAGCATTTAGATGTGCTTTATCCTGATTGACCAGTCCAGCTTCTCACAGCCAATTATAACAACCTCTGAAATACCACATTAACATCAAATCCATGGATAATAAGTGAAGTGTAACTCAAATAGCCAATTAAATTCAAGCTCAGTCCATGTTTAAATATTACACAGGAATGGTAGGTTACATAATCTGTTTATGCAGTTTATGCACCATTTCTAAAACTAACCTGCCATCAACAGATTATTTTCAAGGAAAAAATAAAAAAAATACAATAAAACAGTTAACTACAAAAGAAGATGCATAAAAAAAAAAATCAATAAAAAGCAATAAATTTAAGTGTTGTTTTCTAAACCAATATTATGTCTTTGGCTGGGATTTAAGAGCTTACTCAGCTTTGCTTGACATATAGGGTCCACCAATGGACTATTTTAAAACACTTGGGCTGGTCTCACAAGTGAATATGCTTTATAGGTAAAAAGACATCCAAACACAGATTTTCAGAATGTTTTTTTAAGGCAACCAAATAACAATCATGCAGACATTCGACAATGACCACCTGTGCAACTTAAAATGCAATATTAACAGAACAATGTTAAGAGAACCTTGGTTTTTCTTCTCTTCTGACAGTTTATCACAAAAGCATTAGCAAATTAATATTTACCTAATTAAATCTTTGAGTATTTTGCACTTTTATGACTGAACTTAGCAGTTAACCAAATAAAGCTGTGGATGACTCATAGCAGAGCTGATATCAGCAGGGTTAGGTGAATCATGGACGTCAGGTCCCGTACGGAAGGATGTTACAATGACAACACCCCGCCCAGGGCCAGACACAATAAAAGAGGAACTCCTGAATCAAGCTCTGCTGACCGAGTCACATTGGGCGGGAGAAGATTTATCCTGTTACACCGAACAGGCTGCATCCACACAGGAAACAGTGGCTGTAATTCACACAATATTATTCCAAAGCTGTCACAGTGTGACACGTAGGCACTGTAGCAGACTTTCAAAAAGTAACTTTCTAAAGCCCAAGAAAGCCCAGTGTGTCTGTGAAAGGACCACAACAGTATTTCTGCTCGTTTACAGTGACGACACGTATCATTGTTTTGTCCAATTCTGACCCTTACAGGACAACATTATTAGGACTTTGCTTTTTCACATGTGCTTTTAAAAATCGAAAGGACGCCCGCCTCATCTTTAAAGGAGAGCCCAAACACCCCACACAGGAAGGTTATTCATGCCACTGGCATTCAGTACCCACAGGTTGTTGCCATACATGAGGGTGGGAATGTAGATCGATCAGTAAATCAACAGCTTCACTTTCATACTTAGACCAGTACAGCATCTGCAATACTGCAGATACTGCACCAATCCACCTGCCACTCTTCCACTCCCTTCTTCCCTCACTTGTGAACAAAATCCTGAGGCACTTGAGTTCCTCCAGCAACTCATTCCCAACCCTGATTTAGCATGCCACTTTTCAGACTCAGAACCATGGCCTCAGACTCAGAGGTGCCACTTCTCATCCTAGCTGCTTTACAACTGGCTGCAAACTGCTCCAGCGCAAACTGTGGGTCATTGCTCCATGAACATCCACGAGATCCTGAGACTTAAGGATCTCACTTTTTTCAACAATGCTTTGCACACTAAAAAAAATGCAGCTAAGATGTAGACCTGGCAGACTTTGTAAGTGCATTATTTCTTCCCTGACAGACAGCAGATGGAGGGGAGGAAGCGAGCAGTTTTCTGTGGAAATCAGGAAAAAAAGACTCCTTATTGTGTTTATTGACTCCAAATCAGTTTGGTGAAATTATGAGCAGCAGCTATCAGGGTGCTTTCTAATAAGATACTTCACTTTTCATTGTTGCCATAATTCTGATCACACTTGAGAGAATTGGGAAATATCAGATATTTAATGTGTCACATCCACAAATCCACCAGTAGAAACCACCCGTGATGGACGTGACAACATATTTTACTTTTCTCTTCTCCCTCATTAAAATTCTGCTGCTGTTTGATTTTATTTTCAAATCCTGTCACAGTGGGAGCTAATATGACACTGCACCCAGCAACAAGTAAAACATATTTGTATATTATAGATTTTTTCTGAGCAAAACTAGTTCCATGATGTAACTTACAAGACCTCCCACCACCTGTTCTTGCATGACTGCAGCACACTGCAACACTTTTAGTCAAACCCTAAAAATTTACTATAAATGTAACACTAACAATCACAGATTATTTACATTTAATGATCAGAGCATCTGCAATAATAAATCAAACTGCTTGGAAAGAAGCATTTCTCTAAACCGTTCGCTCTTTTTCATCATAAATAAAAGCTGATGCACAAGGACAAAAATTATAATGAAAAGTATTGACTCCTTCATCAACGAATAAAAACGAGATGAAAATATTCTAGAGAGATGAGATCCAATCAGAACTGAATAAGTTTTGTAGAAAGGCGGGAAGAGTTTGATCCAATCAGAATTAATCTCCTTGTTTAGTAATGTTGGAGGAACACATTTCAGCAGCCCTCGGGGAACAGTACAGCTAGCTCCCAAACTTGTTTCTCATGAATACGTAACATGTTAACACTTAGGAAGAAAAGAAGAGTCAAGGGAAAATAATTTTTAAACCCATTAGAGCAACGTTCTCCAGTAAAAACAGGAGAACATTTTTACAAGTTATATTTTAGTCAACCGAATCAACTTTAGGTTTGTCCGACAACAATCTTATATTCTACACTGTTTAGTTGACTAAAACCAAAAGAATCTAGATGCCAAAACTAAATGACATTTTAGTCAAATTTAAAATTTAAAATTTGCTTTTAGAATTAACACTGGAAAAGAAAGAAAGACTGGACAGATAACATCAAGAAAACATAATAAGTATTAACAAGTGTTTGCAGATATTTAAGAATAGGGGATGAAATAATAGAATATGTAGATACCACGACAATCTAGGACAAATGAAGCACCGGATGACTTCTCTTATACCAATTAATCTTTTCGTAAACCACGAAAAGCAGCTCACACAGCTCAACGTGAGGGACACAGTCATTAAACTATAATACATCCGACTTGATGCAGAAAGAAAGAGAAAACCATCGTGACACAAGAAATCCCTCTGGCTTATGCAATCGACTTTGTTTCAACATTAACATGATCCTAAATGCAGTTCTCCTTTTTTTTGCAATAAAAGTGTTCCTACTTATGGCCATCAGCCAAATTATAGACATCTATTTTTGTGTTGCTTTCATTATGTAACAAATATTATGCAACACAGCGGAAATGTGATGAATAACAATACAGCAAATTGGATCCAATACTAATAAAAACAATGATAAACAGACATTTTGCTCACTAACATAGGAATGCTTTTCCCCCTCGCTTTGT